CCATCTTTGATGGAGATGATGATTTTTATCTACTGAACAAAAACAATGATAATATAACAAATAGTAGTAGCCCTCTTTTTAGGAGTGACCTCGTGGTCTGGGGATACTGAGACCCGGCCATGAGCTCACTATTTTGCATGTAATTAAGTTAATTTGAGCGTTCTAGTCGAAGTCGGAGAACAGTAACGTTTTTGTCGGCCCGATGTTAGAAAGAGCACCAAAAAATCTGGCTTTGGTAGAGACGGTGAAAAGCATGTAGAGCTCTGTTTAGACGTTGGCCAGTCGTCTTAGAACCCAGCTTTATTTTCGGTCGATATGTACTTCCGGGCGAATGTTACCCTGATTTATCAAATGTTCATGCCTCTAGCTCAAATCATTTTAAAACACAGGGTTTGAACAAAGGAAAAGGACATCTATTTAATAAGTTTAACACAACTATTTTTTAAGTATATCACAATGAAATAGTAATCCTGGTACGGCTGCCGCTGAAGCGGAAAAGCAAAAAAAATGACAAGTATAAAGATGTTGTAGATGATGGATATCTTTTCAACCGCTAGCTTTTGAAATTCAGGGCGCGGCCAGCCCCATCACAGAAAGTTTTTTGACAAGCTTTGTAAAAATTTTAGCATGTGCACTGAGGAACCCAGAGCAGGCAGCTTTTTAAAACAGAGAATCTCCCTGGCAATACAGATTGCGAACGCCGCTTGCGTACTCGGAACAATAAATGACAAAATAATTTTCAACAAAATTTTTTATTTGTAACACTTGTATAATATTCTTTCTCGTGTCGAGTTGCGTGTTCTTATTGAAGAAACGTAACCCATATCGATTGTAATTGAAAAGGACTTAAACACTTGCCATCTTCTTTTATCATTGTTACTTCCACATCTAGAAAATCTAGTATATCACAACAATAAAAAAAACTAAATTACAAAAAGGGCCCTTCCGTTTAGCTACGGTAAGTGCACAAGCTCGATAGGGCCATACCAGCGATATGAAAATGCATATATATCAGCAATGAAGTCATAAATCAGCATTAAATGCATCGTCGTAATGTTAATTTATCTTAGCCGTCCTTCCTCTACATTAGCGTTTATGGAGTTGTCGATAAATAGAACTTTGCGTAGCGATCTGCACCCCCTTATACAAAGTATAGAGCTCCTCAGGAGCGCGAAGCTTATTTTAGTTCTTATGTAGTTTTTAGATTCTGGATAGCTTTCTTGTCTTTTTTTACTTAGTTTTTCGGCCAATCGCCGCATCGTCCGCGTGGCTGTTGGAGCAGCGCCACCGGTGCATCCAAAAATTAGCGGGTAGAAGCTACTCTGCTCTACGTTTAAAGTTCTTTGCTGATATTTGGAGTTCTTCAGCGTTTCGTGGTATTTGTATGCATCCTTATGCAGTTTTCGCGATGTTGTGGCATGGGGGTTGAAAGTTTTCACATCAAAAAAAAAAACGCGGCTGAATCGTGACCCCCAGAGTCCGTTTGCCTTAATGTCGAGTCGTGCCTCATCTTCAGTTGTAGTTGAATTGTTGACAAAGCTTTCGCCTTGCAACGGCTGAAGTTACGGCTCAATCTCGACGTCATGGCAAACCTCGTTCATGAGGTTGGCGAATGTGTCTCTAATTTCATTGTGTCTTATGTGTGTGTAACCACCCTTTGCACATTGAAGCGCATGTGTCAAGTTAAAATCAGCACCACATGCACATGTGAGTGGGGTTTTGGTTGGTTTCCATCCGTATCTTAATAGAATACCATCTCTGAACTCTGATTTATTCAGGTTTAAGTTGTATCTGCTGAGTGGTGGAGCATTGAGCCAGTTAGAGGCTCCCTTTTCAGAGGCCAAGTCGATTGCGTATTCAACCTGGCCTCAGGTCCTGTTTCATTTAAGGAGTTAATGAGGTTTGTTTTTTTTTCGATTTGTTCTATCAGTTTTCAATTTTTTGATTTTCGTACATATTTTTTCTTGCTGTGTTACTGCTGTAATAGGATCTTGAGATTCCAGTACTAGTGATGTTTCCTTAGACCATTCTAGGTAGCTTTCATGATTAGATGGCAGCTTGATGTTAAGTCCGCCCATTTTAAGGGGTAAGGAAGATATCTCACGGAACTGGGGGTTTAAAGTGTCTTTACCGACTAGGTTAGGTAATAATTGTTCTTTTATAATATTTTCACATATTTCTAAATTTTCCATAGTGTTAGGCGTTGTCCTGGCATAAATGAAATCTTTTCTTGAACTCCTTTAGTATAGCAGGCATCAACGTTAAGAGGGGAGGTTAAGCGATTTTCGTTAGTTTTTTCAAAATTTTGATTTGCTCATTCTGTTGAAAGTCGAGGAATTTTTTACATTCAGATTCTGTTCCTATAACTGAACCAAGCACTCGGGCTCCTGCCTTTATAGTGATTTCTGTATTTGCGAAGATTTTCTGAGCTTCACCGAGTTTTTCATCCTTGACAATGAATTGGCATTTGGATGCTTTCAGGTGGTAGCCGAAAAGTTTACCCAGTGGTACAATTTTATCGAGTACGGTTCGTAGATTGCTTAATTTACCGACTGCGTTTCCGTCGTCTGCGTACCATTTCTGGGTTACATCGTCTACTGATTAAAGTTTCAAGAGGGGTTTGTGGCTAGACAGTATATGACCATTGCTAGTGGATCCCCCTGGGTTGTTCCTTCTTGAGAGTGGATTGTTTTTTTTTGGTAACGAATAGTTTAGATGGTTTGGAGTAGGAGTTCTTAATCGCTGTTAAAAATGAAGGTTAGGTATTTTTGATGTTTTTAATGTCAGCTTTCGGCTCAGCGAGTTGAAAGCGTTTTCGGCCTCTATCAGTAAAACAGCATCGGCGGAAAATTTGCTGTTTTGATCTCTTAGCGTGTGGATCGCATATTCAATGCCACATTTTTGTCCTAGGCAGAGTAAGTAATTTGAACCGAGCGACATGAAATCGTTTTTTAGACATTTAATTATTGTTCGCCCTAGTATCCTACGCATAATTTCTCCTATGCCTATGGGTCTTACCCCTGGATTCTTATCTAGGGGTTTTAATCTGCATGCGTTATATGGTTCCATTAGTTCTGGATTTAATTCTTCTGTGGCCAATTTTTTGGCAATTTTAGCAACTGTTTTCGAAATTTCAACTGATTGTTGCCCGAAGTGTGGTAAAATACGTCTCCATTCATTTGCATCTAGACCAGATGGCCCATCGATCTGTGCGTTCTCATGGCTGCCTTCTTGATATGTTGACCGTCATGTTGACTGATCAAATATCGATGGATGGAAAGGAATTGTTTCGTTGGAGACTGGTGTAATATAGTTCTTATCAATTGGTTTAGATGGTGGATGTTTCTCTATGAGAGTCTGTTCTACTGTCTTACCTTTGACAATCTCGTCGAAGGTAAGAACGCCTTTAGATGTGTCTGTTAGTTTTGCAATTAAGCTTGATATTTTTAAAGTATTCATTAGTTTGTAGAACTGTTGTGCTTCAGTTTCAGTTTTTCTTCTGCTTTCATTTCAACAAGCGCATTTGCAGCGACTTTCCTTCGTTATATAGTCCATCCAGGTTTCCGTCTTGCCATTGCTTAAGTCGCCTTGCTATTGTTTTAGATAAAGATCCATCAACTTCGGACTTTGTTTTGCACAGTAATAAGTGTGGAAAAATCATTGCTGCGTGCATTGCGAAGGTATTTTTGTTGTTTTCTATTAGGCTGTTCAAATTTCTATTGAGGGTTTCAATGAAGTGATAACCAACTTTATTTTTTGACAAGATCATAAAGACCGGTTGCCAGTGGACCACTTCGGTGTATATTTTCCTGGTGGTTTCTATGAGTTCTGGACAGGGGTTTGACCATGGTTCTTGTATTGTTCTAGATTCTATAGTGGAAGACTCTCCTGAGTTTTATGAGTGTGGGGCAGTGGAAGGGTGAGGGTTCATTTGGGGGAGCGTGGTTGTAGCTAGGATTGGGAGATTGCATTCATGCTTGTCGTTAGCTGAATGAAATTGGGAGGTGCAGCTATGACAACTGAAATCGTCATAGTGATCACTGCTGCGGGCTAGGCCGCTGCATTTTACATGCATGTAGCCTGGGCATGTGAAGCACCAAACACCTCTGCCTCGCAGGCTGCTTTTACAAATAAGGCAGTGTGTTTGAGTAGCCATTTTAGGAAGGACGGCGGTGTCAAGTTAGCGAGAGAATTTATAGATTAAATTTGCAAGAAAATTTATTAAGAAATCATTACCGTAGAACGCGAAGTCACGGCAGAACATTTGAGGGTTTGGATTTAGGTTGAGGTTAGGCGAAACAATAAGTGCATGGGGGTGTACAAATCTATTTATCAAATTAAAAGGCACATGATTATGATTTAAACTTTGCGGATTACTTCTGAATTACAGTTCTGAATGGGGATGATCAGTCTCTTGGGCTGAAACTTGTTAGTGACGAGGTTAATCGAGTTTTTCCACTGCTGTTCTAATTCTTGTGGATGCAGCCTGTTGTCATTGTATCCAGCAATCTTGTTACTGTTTTTAGGCGCTTTGGTCTGTATTGTAAAACTGTTTCAAACAGATCATGAAGCGTTCCGCCGCGGTAGGAGTGAATTGTTGATTTTACTAGAGCTGGTTTGATATTATTGGTCCTTGAAGTCCCAATAACTAGTTTCGGTGAGAACTCAGTGATGCGTCTTGCCTGGAATCGCGGCATCAACCTGAAACACAGGCAACTGGGGCGAGAAAGGAAGCTCTTTGGTGGTGATTTATGAATACTTTCACTGAGGGTTTAAAATTGCTGAGGCAAAGGCGATCAAAAAAAAGAAAGGAGTGGTAGAACCTGACGTCGATTTGGAGGTCGATTCACCAGCTCACTCCTTCTTGCGTCTAGTTACGTCAGGGAAACTTCACTCGCCTACGGCTGGGACGGCGAGATTTGGTAAGATAACCAGAAGAGAAAAGCCCAGCGCGCATATATTAAGAAAACACACAAGCGGTAAATTTGAACAAATAACTATTTAATAAGTTTATCACAACAATTAGGCTAAGAAAATTTGTAAAGAAATCATTACCGTAGAAAAGAGAAATGGAATTAGGCTGAGAGGCTTCGCGCTGCTCAGGAGCGCTATCATTTGTATATGGGGTGCAAATCACTGCGTAAGAGGCAATTTAAAGACACTTCAGTAAATGCTATTATAGAAAAGAGACGGTTGAAGTAAATACTTTTCTTGACAACGCTTTAATTATCCTTAGTTCCTGCAATATTGCTGCAACAACTTAATTCCTGCAATATTGATTATTGATGCATTTATAAAATGCTGGTGTGGGCCCTATCTAGTTTCTGTCATAATTTGATGTTTTGTAGCTCGTGATTTCTTCCAGAAAGACATGGTTTTTGTAACATCTGATCAATTGGTGGAGGAATTAGACATTTTTGGTCTGGAAGCTTCGGATGAAATATTAAGTGAATTGCGACGAGTTTGTGATAGTTTTTCTTGCAACGCAGAGGCCGTAGAAACTAAATGGGTCGCCTTTTCTCACTCATCGGGTAAGAATAATTTAAAATAACAGAATATGGAAAACAACAAAATCCTCCCTAGTTGCTATATTATTTGAATCCGCTTATGTCTTCTTAGAGCCAGTCATGAGAAGTTTTTTTTACCTCTGCTTTCTGTTTAATACCGGATTAATATATCATAGCAACTTAATATCACTGTTTGCTTTGACACGTGAGCAGGTGTCTTGCAGACATCTAGTTGATTTTTTTTTCGTAAACACTTACTTTAGAGACTTGCAATTAATTAGAAATAGACAAAGTCAGTTAACAAGAGAAAATGGCCTGTTCCACACAGTTTTTGCATGCAGAAGCTAATTTTTCCTTTTATAGACTGATGATGATTAAAATCAAACGAAAACGGTCTCTTAACTAACATTGATAGTTTTTTCTGAGCAGAAGCTAATTGTTCAGACAGAAAGCAAATTCAGACAAGTCTGTCTCAAGGTCAGTTATAAATTAAAATTGAAATTTGATTCAAAATTTCAGTCCGTTCTAACTTATCATTCAAATCTGTCAGAAATTAAAATTGCTTTTTGAATTTTACGGGCTTACAGGCTCGTTCCCATTGGTCCAGAGGTAATCTGTTAGCTTTTGCACCCTAGGGTCTAAACTTCGAGGCCGGACCGTGCCTTGGTTTTTTCAGTATGTTTGAAATTATTTTTTTTCGGGGATTTTAGTTTTTCTGCTGTTCATTCAGCTTAATTACCAGATCATGAGTTTTGATCTTCCTTGTGCTATAAAGGTTTTCAAATAGATCATGAAGCGTTGCGCCGCGGTAGGAGTGAATTGTTGATTTTACTAGAGCTGATTTGATATATTGAGAATGCGTTAAAATTGTAAATTCAAACAAACGTTTTCGCACATTTTGTGCATCTTCAGGTTTTAAAAATTCTAAACTATCTGTACAAAATGATCAAAGATCAAAAAAAGTGTCACACACATCATTAATTCAAAAGTTTAAAAATTCAACCAATCAAAACTTTACAAATATCACTGAAATTATGTAACAACTATTATGTAACATTTTAAAACATTTTGTCACAATTTTCTGAGAGTTTTCATCAATTTTGTTTTCACATTTTTGTTTTGTCGCTAATTTTCATGCTAACATGTAAGTTGTTTCAAAAAATTGTTGTTTTAGCCAGAATTTTTCGATTCTGGAACTATAGCCTTACTGTCAGCTCCCTACTTCTAAACTCGACGCGCGTGTTAATTGCCGGTCTCTCTTTCCTAATGTGCAGCGCCTCTAATGTAAGTAACTTGATGCTGCTGGACGCCTAGTCGATTATTTTCCAATTAAACTCAGACTTACCACACTCACTACCACACTGCCTTATATGCTGTCCAACTGGGGTATCCTCTTTTCGGTGTTCCTCAATCCTTGTGGTGAGATATCGGACCGTCTGACCAACATAGATGGATTTGCACCTACAACATTCAAGTCTGTACACCACTTTTGATTTCAGTTCACTGGAAAAGGAGGATTTTAGAGAGGGCACACAAGTTTTCAATTTCCTCGTCGTGAATATTATCAGCGCATTGGTGATATCGCGCAATTTTTTTTGCTAATGTCTGACTGTGATTCCCCCTATATTGGACCATGGGTTGGGAATCACTGCGATAATCACAGGGCTTCTTTTTCTCAGCCATGTTTTTTTTGTTTTTGCCCTCGCTGATGATCTTTTCAAGGGCATGGGATGCAACCCGCGACGACCAACTTTCCGGATATTGGTTATCCAACCACTGCTCACGGTTGATTTTCATGTTCACTTTATCAAATTCTTACCATGTTGACGTACTGCGGAAAACCCGGTGAACAATTTTTTCAATCACACTTCTCTTGTACTGAAGGGGGGCGCAGCTTCTAAAATTGAGTATGGTACCTGTATCTGTTTGTTTTTGATACCATCCACAGCTAATTTTCCTGCTTTTGTCAATACTAATTTGTAAATCCAAAAATGCCAAAGTTCCGTTTGTGTTTGGTGTCTCTATTGTGAACTGTAAATTTGGATGTAGTAAGTTTGCAGCCCGTAGCACTTTTTCTGGATCACCCTTTACTGTTCTCACTATATCATCAACGTAACGGAGAAACAATTTAGATTGTTGCCCTGACTTATTTTTCTCCATTATTGCGATGCATTTTCTGCAGTACCAGACGGTTTCACTTATATTTCGATACTCATCATCTGATATATCACCGCATTTTACGTGATACCAGTTCAAACAGCATTCACATTCTACACCTTTTGACCTGTACGTGACTTTCTTATTGCACTCGGGACATATTCCGTGAAGATCTTTCTCGGGCAAAAACTTTTCGGGAATATCCCTTGATAGTGCAGTTTCGTACTGCTTCAGCCAAAGATTTGCTAAAATAACGGCAAGAGATGCCCCCATTGCCAAACCATCTTTCTGAACGTACCATGTTTCATTGCACTTGAAATGGGCTTGACCAACTGCCATGTTCAACAGTCTCTTCATGGTTTTCCTAGCAATTGATGGTGGTTCATTTTGCTCATACAGTTTTCTCAGAGCTATGTCTATCGCTTCTTTCAGTGGAACATTTGTGTACAAACTCTTCACATCTAGAGATATCAAGTTTTCATTGGGCTCAAGATTAGTGCTCTCTAAGATTTCTCTCGCATCTAGTGAGTTGGTTTCGATGTTTGCGCCCTCAATTTTCTCAAAAAATTTAGCAAGGACTTTGTTCAAGTTATAATAAGAGCTACCAGGCAAGGAGAGGACCGGTCTTAATGGGGTATTCACTTTATGCACTTTCGCCAACCCATAAAGCCTGGCGAGCTGCCCCCAGTAGACCTCATCCTTGTGTAGAGACTCTCACTTATTTCATCTTTTTTCCTCATAGCCAACAACTCCTTATTGATGTCTCTTTCTATCTTCAAAACAATCGCATCACTTGTTCCTTTACTTTTGCTGAATTGATTTGAATCTAATGTATCCGACAACTTGTTCTCGTAGGTGTCCTTTCTCATTACACAAAAACCCACGCTTTTGTCATACGGTACCGCAACTAAACCATTACTCTTCAGATACTTTCGGGCCTTCTCAGCGCCTTTGTCAGATGGTGTTTGTTTCAACCTCTTAGCATAGGCTTTTGCCACAGCTTCGATCTCACAAAAGGCCTCCCCGGGGACTTTACGATTTTTGAGATCCGATAGAAAGTTGTCAATTTTGGCGAGAAAGTGTGTCTCATTAAATTTATCCCTGACGGGATGCTTTGGCCCTAATGCCAACACTTGTTGTACCCAATTTGGTAAATCAACATCATCAAGAGCTCCTACCGAACACTCACCTTGCTTCCCTAGAGGTCGGTCTTGCCTTTCTGATAGTTTCATTAGCTTCTTCTGATAGGTCTCTTTGACTGTTGCTGTTTGTCTTTGTCCCCTAAGACTTAAACATTTAATTACCGAAGGCCAAAACTTCTCATCAACACTCCTCTGTACTGCGCCTCTCGCCCTTTCTAGTTTGACTTCAACGTTTTTCTCATCTGTCCTTGCCTTGTTTATCTCCGTTCTTAGAAGTTTTGCCTGAAAACTGTGTATCGCTTGGTTCGAAAACACCCCGTTTTCCGGTACCCTGAACCTCAACAAATCAGGTATAATGTCGTTTTCTAGACAAACTCTCAAAAATTTAACACGTTGGTGACAGTTGATAAAGATAACATATTTGGACGCATAATCACGGAATAATTTCCAAATGAGTTTGTTTTTCAAAGTCCAAATCAAGAATGGAGTTGGGAGTACAACTGTGCTCATTGGTTTGCAGGCCACGAGGAATAAACCTCACTTGACACAAAGCAACTCAAATAAGACAAGTTTAACTCACCCTCTCCGTTGAAGCCTCCTCGTCAGTCCGACCAACAGCTGTTTCGTATGTTCACCAGTCTTCTTTTCTCCGCCATCCTTCTCGATTGAGATTTTTTTTTCGTGTTTGAACGAAGCTTGGACAAGACAGCTGGCAGGTCGTCTTGGTGTTCGAACACAATCCTCAAAGACTTTAGCTCCAGCTGGACGTCTTGGTGCAGTGCCTGATATTCTTTGACCAGCTCCGTTCTTCTCTTCCTCTTTGAAATGAGACTTTTTGTAATTGGAATGACAAGAATACCCGAGCTGATCAGCTGGTTCCTGATATCCGGTGTACCGTTTCTCTGACAGTATACAATTGCGCTGATATTTGTCAGTGTCTTCAAGATTTCTGTCAATTCCTCTGCAGTGCAAGCTCTGAAATTGTTTGTGCGGTGGCTGTTTATAGAATTATTGATGATGTCGTGCCACACCACCACTCGACGTTTTTCTGCTAGAGGTGTCCTGCAGAGTAGGCTTGCGAGGTTCTTCTGTAGGTTCGTGGTGTTCGGGCTTAAAGAAAGTCCCGGAATAGCCAAAATTTTGGGTAGTAATTGTTCTTTTTCCGGGTTAATAAGTTGTTCCAGGCTGTGGTAGAGTGAGCTAGCTGCTACAATGTAGACCATTTCAATTCTAACATGGTAAAATATAAAAAGATTTTTCAACTAAAAAGATTTCTCCACTAAAACAAGGGGAAAATAAATTTAAAATTACGTCTCCTTGTAGGAGAGACTGTTATTGAGAATTGGCTCAACGCCATAGGGTTTCAAAATTTTACATCTAAATATTTTGAGAATGCGTTTAAATTGTAAACTCAAACAAACGTTTTCGCACATTTTGTGCATCTTCAGGTTTTAAAAATTCTAAACTATCTGTACAAAATGATCAAAGATCATAAAAAGTGTCACACACATCATTAATTCAAAAGTTTAAAAATTCAACCAATCAAAACTTTACAAATATCACTGAAATTATGTAACAACTATTATGTAACATTTTAAAACATTTTGTCACAAATTTCTGAGAGTTTTCTTCATTTTTATTTTCACATTTTCGTTTTGTGACTAATTTTTATGGTAACATGAAAGTTGTTTCAAAATTTTGTTGTTTTAGCCAGAATTTTTCGATTCTGGAACTATAGCCTTAGTCGTTTGATATATTTGGTCCTTGAAGTCCCGATAACTAGTTTCGGTGAGAACTCAGTGATGCGTCTTGCGTGGTGTCGCGGCATCAACCTGAAACACAGACAACTGGGGCGAGAAAGGAAGCTCTTTGGGGGTGATTTATGAATACTTTCACTGAGGGTTTAAAATTGCTGAGGCAAAGGCGATATAAAAAAAGAAAGGAGTGGTACAACCTGACGTCGATTTGGAGGTCGATTCACCAGATCACTCCTTCTTGCGTCTAGTTACGTCAGGGAAACTTCACTCGCCTACGGCTGGGACGGCGAGATTTGGTCAGATAACCAGAAGAGGAAAGCACAGCGCGCATATGATATGAAAACACACAAGCGGTAAATTTGAACAAACAACTATTTAATAAGTTTATCACAACAATTAGGCTAAGAAAATTTGTAAAGAAATCATTACCGTAGAACGAGAAATGGAATTAGGCTGAGAGGCTTCGCGCTGCTCAGGAGCGCTATCCTTTGTATATGGGGTGCAAATCACTGCGTAAGAGGCAATTTAAAGACACTATTATAGAGAAGAGACGGTTGAAGTAAATACTTTTCTTGACAACGCATTAATTATTCTTAATTCCTGCAATATTGCTGCAACAACTTAATTCCTGCAATATTGATTATTGATGCATTTATAAAATGCTGGTGTGGGCCCTATCTAGTTTCTGTCATATTTTGATGTTTTGTAGCTCGTGATTTCTTCCAGAAAGACATGGTTTTTGTAACATCTGATCAATTGGTGGAGGAGTTAGACATTTTCGGTCTGGAAGCTTCGGATGAAATATTAAGTGAATTGCGACGAGTTTGTGATAGTTTTTCTTGCAACGCAGAGGCCGTAGTAACTAAATGGGTCGCCTTTTCTCACTCATCGGGTAAGAATAATTTAAAATAACAGAATATGGAAAAGAACAAAATCCTCCCTAGTTGCTATATTATTTGAATCCGCTTATGTCTTCTTAGAGCCAGTCATGAGAAGTTTTTTTTACCTCTGCTTTCTGTATAATACCGGATTAATATATCATAGCAACTTAATAGCACTGTTTGCTTTGACACGTGAGCAGGTGTCTTGCAGACATCTAGTTGATTTTTATTTTCGTAAACACTTACTTTAGAGACTTGCAAATAATTAGAAACAGACAAAGTCAGTTAAAAAGAGAAAATGGCCTGTTGCACACAGTTTTTGCATGCAGAAGCTAATTTTTCCTTTTATAGACTGATGATGATTGTAATCAATCGAAAACGTTCTCTTAACTAACATTGATTGTTTTTCCTGAGCAGAAGCTAATTGTTCAGACAGAAAGCAAGTTCAGACAAGTCTGTATCAAGGTCAGTTATAAATTAAAATTGAAATTTGATTCAAAATTTCAGTCCGTTCCAACTTATCATTCAAATCTGCCAGAAATTCAACTTGGTTTTTGAATATTACGGACTTACAGGCTCCTTCCCATTGGTCCAGAGGTAATCTGTTAGCTTTTGCACCCTAGGGTCTAAGCTTCGAGGCCGGACCGTGCCTTGGTTTTTTCAGTATGTATGAAATTCTTTTTTTTAACCTGGAATCTTAGTTTTTCTGCTCTTTATTCAGCTTAATTACCAGATCATGAGTTTTGATCTTTCTTGTGCTATAAAGGTTTTCGTTGCAGTTGTTAACTTACTCCTGTGTTGCCGAAGCAACTACATTTTCCCAATCTTTATAAATCAAAAGTCACTGATCAAACATTTGTAATCTCTGTGATATAAACACTCTCGAAACAAACCAGAACTAAGAAAGTTGACTCTTGGAGTCATGTTTTGACCTAAAGTGACAAGTCAACTACATGTTTTGGCGCTCCTGGGTGTTAGAAAAAAGGAAAATTAAACAAACTCAGGAATCGATTATGATTTAGAAAACGTTTTTTTAATTTTTGATTGAGTTTAATTGCGCATGCCTTGATTGTAAAACATAATAAAAAAAGAATATAAAACCCTTAGACAGACATTTCAAAAAAAAAACGTTTTCTAAATCATAATCGATTCCTGGGTTTTTTTAACTTTCCTTTTTTCTAACTATTTTGCGCATCGCCTCGGTTTTTTAGAGCCGTTCTTATGACAGGATCTTCGACGATCAGCTTCAATAGCAACAAAAGAAACGATGTCAGCGTGGAACAGATTTCGTGTTTGCCAAATGCAGCTCAATGGATCTCTCGACTTCTTGGAGAAAAAACTCTGCTCAGTAAAATCAACTTGTTCTTTGAGTTCGTTAGTGGCAGCAGCAGAATCAAGACTGCAGGAACTGAATCAATTGTCAGCGGAAATCATGGATACCGGATCGCCCGAACAAACTAGGTTTGTCACGGCAACAGCTACAGACATTGCAGTACGCCTCTTACAACTACAGAGTGACATCAACGATAACGGTTCACTAACTCAATACAACGCGCAACTTATCCACGACTTCGAGAGAAGAAACACGGAATCAGCAGACAACGCGCATGCCGACATGCCCCCATCATCAATTACAGACAATTATCGAGCAGAAACAAGCTATTCACTTCCAGACGATCGGCGAGCAGAAACAAGCCAACAGTTACAATTTTACAACCCAAACTGCGGATACAACATTTTACATCATCGTCCAAGACATTCTCAACCTAATATGAGCTCGGCAATAACCCACAACTATTCCGAAAGCAAAGAACATCCGACAAACAGACAAGATGTTGTCACAGAGACAAGAATTTATGACAGCAGCCCTCATCCCCCGTCGTTTGCAAACAACAACGCTTTTTCTCAGTGCCAGCAATACAAACCAATGATTGTCAATAACTTTGGAGATGAAGGTGCTCAGCTGGGTACGGATACAACAATCGAGATCGATGACGATGTAAGTTCGGAAACTGTAGTCTACAACCAATAGCAACCCAATACAGCAAACAGCAGGGTTGCAAAGCCCATCGTTTGCATTTACTATTCCGCAACCTCATCACCTAATGCAACCGGGACTACACGAGCAGTCTAGCGACAATATCGATCTCAGAACCCATTTCACAACAAGCACCTACAGTTTTCCACGAGAACAAATTTTCCAATCTCATCAGCAGATACGTTCAACTGAACAATCTTCACACCATAAGTTACCGAGCCAGAAACAGCAAACTGGAGAACAAACAAACTCTTACACAGATCAAGGTTTCTACAGGCCTTACAACCCCAACAACCAAACTATAAAAGATTTTCATTCAGAAAAACATAAAGCGGCATCCTCTTGTATAGTGCAAACCTTCATGGCTACCAATGGTTCATATTAATCCGTTTTTTTTTAGTACCGGAGGCATCAACTTTCCCACAACCCAAACTGCATCCTTATATGCAACCAACATACAGCATGCATCAACACACAAGGATCAACGCCGCGTCGATAGCTTCTGGACCAAGTTGTAATAACGCTTTTCTACCAGATAATAGAGAGCAAAGAAGCAACCCTCACCAATCTTCAAACTATTTTCTCCTAACATCTTTGATTCGAACCATTTCGCCACAAACAACATTACCAGAGTTTAAAGGGCAAGTCAGCAATTTTCCTCAACTGACCACCTATTTTGACATAAATCGAGATAACAGAGACAAAATTGACTTCAAAACCACAGTCAAGTTACCACCAATTCAAATTCCATCATTTGATGGTAATCCTCTGGCTTTCCATGACTGGTTGAACATGTTCATTGCCACTGTTGATAGCAACACAACCATCAGTGATACACACAGAATTACCTGCCTACAAAACGCCGTGACTGGTAAGGCGAAAGAGCTAATCAAAGGCTACTCATGCAACCCAGTCTTCTATAAACCAGCATTAGAGGATCTTAAATCACGTTTTGGCGATACATTTATTGTCGTCAACGCGTATATAAAACAATTAGAAAACTGGCCAGCAGCCACCAAAAGCAGACTTTTTTTTGTTTCTTTTGTCTCCTTCCTGAAACAAATGGTGCAAACCTTCAAAAATCTCAATTTTAATGCAGATTTGAATTCTTCTACTTTGACAAAGCTTGTCAAAAGTAAAGTCCCACAAGATTTGTTTCCTAAATGGACGGAATACACCGTGCGAAATGACATACAGGACACAGATGTTCAACACTTGAAAAATTGGCTAGAAGTGCATGCGAAAACCTACGACAAACTTCACAATCAATTTCCATCCTTCAACAATGCAGAACTGTCAACATTTAGCAGCAATTCCTTAGCGCCCTGTTCCTCAAACGTTATATCAAGCAATCCACAGGCTTCCAAAACACAGGACCTGAGAATTTCAACCAATACAGAACAAAGCGCAAGCAATGCCCTTCTTGTAAGAACGAACATAACATCATGCAATGCCCACAGTACAGTTCTTCTACGCCACCTCAACGCTACAATATGGTAAAACAACTAGAACTTTGTGTCAACTGCTTAAGCCCTCATCACCTCCGAACTACTTGTCTCAAACAACCGTTGTCAAGAGTGCAGCGGATTTCATCACACAAGCCTTCACGACCCAAACAAATTTAAAAAATCAACTTTCGTTGTCAACGCCCATCATGAATTGTTTCACAATACTATGCACCCAACCGTACAAGAACCAGTTTGGGGTTCCGACAATTTTTGTAAACCCGCCCCCCAGGAAATCCGAAACTTTAATCACCAGTCTGCAGATTTTAACCAAAAAAGCAAAGAGTACAAACCTAAAAAGAGAAGGTTTCCAAACCAACCAGACCTAAGCCGCTATGGTGCCCAGCACTCTAACAAATCAGAACATCAGCTATCAAAAACAGAGATGTCATCGCAACAAAGCAAAGACGCAGCATGCGCAGAAAATCAGGGAGGGTTCACTGCCTGTGAGTTTTCGAGTTTTTGTTCAGAACAACCTCAATGGTTTGAACAGCTACAACTAAAGCCGGTCTCATTCTGCCATGGTGAAACAAGCACAACTACTTATGCATTAATTGACCACGGGAGCCAATTTAGCTTCATTGTTAATGAAATAGCAGATAAACTACAAATTTCATCTATGGAACACACATCAATGTCTCTTCGTTATATCGACATTGATCATGAAATGCCAGTTGCAAAGGTTGATAATGCTGTTCACGTCTCACCGCATGACAAACCGGATGTTAAGTTCTCAATGAATAATTTGTGCCAAACTCCTTGCTTAAACATACCGGCGGCAGATGTGTTTAATTTGAACGAGATTTGCAGCTCTACCGACACATTTCGGCATATTCATTTTCCACACCTCGATCATGGGAAGATTGGAGCTTTGCTTGGTGTAAAGTCATTCTTGTTTTCATATCCTCCACACCTTATTGAAGGAAACAACTTTATACCTTCAGCTATACAGACAAAACTTGGATGGACATTAGCCGGCGAATACCAATTGAACAACAATAGACAACAGCGACACTCATCCAAAACAAAACATCGGCCCTTTGTCTTCCACGTTTCTCGCAACAAAACAACAGAGCAACCTCTGGACTATCTTGTACACCAATTTTGTAAAATCGAGGAAAACGGAATCACTACACTCAACAAAAAATACAGCAGCGACGATAACACGACAAGACTTGTAAATGGACGATACGAAATTGGTCTTCCCTGGAAACCCAACTCAAGTCTCAGCAACAACTACTGTGTAGCTCTGAAGCAATTGCAATCATTGCAGAAAAGACTCGGAAAAAACACCGATCTACAAAATTTATACGAAAAGACGCTAGTTACGGACCTGGAAAAGTCTTACGCGCAGCCAGCAGTTTTTACCAAAGAAGTACCTTCTAGATTGTGGTATCTGCCTCACCACGAAGTCGTAAACCCTAACAAGCCGGGAAAGGTAAGGCGTGTCTCAAATGCTGCCTCCAAA